TGTATATTCCCAAGAAAATGTCTCACATGGCGGAGATGATGTATACTTGACTGCGAGCAATAGAGAATCCTGAAGCGGAGTTTGTTACAATGGTTGGGTTAATTGCCTTGTCAGTGCCATGTTTTCACTGTTGTGTGTTTGATTAAATGTTTTCTTTGCCTCACACAGTTTAGTTTTCTAATAAAATGAAAAATTAAATATAGTTTCCGAGCTTAGTTCTAAAAAGAATGCACTAAAGTCTCTGAATACCTTAACAACAGCACTCTAGATCAGAGGAGCTCTGTTTGATTTTTGGTTTGTGCTGTGGATATTGAAGCTCTGTATGCTTTTTCACTATATTTTGGAAAAAAGAAACCAAACCAAAAAACTTGAGGTTTTGTTTTTTTTTTTTCTGAAATTTTGCAGTGTTTGGAAGGTTCATTCTTAATGTGTCCCAGTACTTAGAGAACAGTTTCACAGCTACAGCTCCTCATCCTGCTCTAGGGAGGATGAGAAGGCATTCAGCATTTTGGATAGGATGAATCTCCTTTCCTTGAACACTAGCTGGCTCCTTTTTCAGTTGGATCAAATTGTGAATGCTTCTTCCTCACAAATTTTTTGGGAGGTCCAGAACGTGCTGGTGTGTGCTTGGACCCTCCCATAATCTAACTTGCTCACTCTTAAGCAGTTCTATTTTTCTGCAGATAAGTGAAGCTCTTAGAAGTAAAAATATATTTTGTTATTTGTGCTTTACAGAAGGAATAATTTAGGGGGGAGTAAAGCAGGCTAACAGATTTTTTTTTGGGCTGTGCTGTCTCAGAAGTGGAGATGGTGGAGCCATCAGATTGTTTCTGAGCACGTCTGGTACACAAAGCAGTGTGGAAACAGGGTGAACAAGAAGTGTTTATCGTCCTGGCTTTGTGCTGTAGAGCTGTGACATTCCTGCTGGTTGAAAATACTGCAATAAAAAACTTTGTTGCCGAGACTTGCATTAATAAATGTTTGTCAAAACCCAGCAAACTAAAGACTGAATAATTTGACTTACACTCATCTCTCCCCTCAAGACCTTTTTTTTCTTAAAAAAAAAAAAAATCACAACAAAACTGCTTTCAGTGTCAGCTGTACATGCTCAACAACCATGTCTGAGTGAAGTACTGGGATGTTTACTTACATGCTTAAAAATGAGTGGTCAGCAAGCCAGGGAGTCACAAGCAGTTGTGTAAAAATAGATGATAGCAGATGTGGACAGTTGGCCTTGTATTCAGTGCTGGAGAAGGCTCAGGCATTGTAGATGATAATCACTGTAGATTTTATTCTAACCATCCCTAAAATTTACACATCCAGGAAGTTCGGATTTAAACTTCAAATCAATCAAAAAACAAGAAGACAGCTAAAACTGTTACTTTGCTCTTCAGTCTCATGCAGTTGTTTAGCATGCAATATTTGCTCCTACTCGAATTGAATTAAACTGATTTCTCCATTTAGTATTTTGCTGTCTCCTTCATTTCCCTCTCCCAGCACTGTTCTGTGATACCCACACACACACTTTGGGTTTTCTCCAGTTTTTTCTTCCTTTTTTCTTCCTACAGAAAATCTGGTATAACATGTACCTTCCTTTTACACACAAATATTTAGTAATAGTTACCTTTACTGCTGCTGTTGTTTTTTGAGGGGTGTTTCTGCTTCAGGAGAGAATGTCTACTCCTGCTTTTATTTACGTTTTGGTTCTGTGCCCTCCTTTAAACCACTGGAAGGTGTTGTTGCTGCAGGCAGGGTTTGGACTCAAACAGTTCCCCTGCCTCTGGGTGAGTCTGTGTGTGTGAGGCTGGGGCACAGCTCTTCCACAGGCACAAAAATACAGCTATTTAAGCCCCAGGGTTGGTTGTCACCACTCTGCTCTGCAGCTGGAGCCCTGTGGAGGGGCCTGGTGAGGCTGTGGCCCAGAAGGGTGGTGTGGCAGCCTGGCCCAAGGTCACCTCAGGCCGTTTGTGCTGTGCTGCTCTTTAATAAAGCGTGCACAACCCTGGGAATGTCTGGGCTGGTGTTACATAAACCCAGTGCTGATCCACACTGCTGGAAGGGCTCGTTTTCAGCTGTGGGGCCAGGGAGAGTGGAGGAACTGGGGAAATCGTGGAGGTTCAACTAGTCCAAGGCTTGCCCTGAAACTGAGGGCTAAGAAGTGAATTCAGGTTGCCAGAAGGCTGGGTGAGAGGGAAGAGTCTGAGAGCAGGTTCTCAGGGAACACTTCCATGGTGTCCTGTGGAGGGCTGAAATAACTGGTAGCGAGGGGGGAAGGAAAAAGGGAAAAAAAAGACAATAAGTCAATGTTTTTGTGCTCTGCCTGAACCCCCATTTGTGCTAGTGTTTAAGCACATCTGGGACAGAGGGAGGGCAGATATTTTGGTTCTTGACTGGAACTGTGAGGTTTTCAGCCAGTGCACTGGAACATTGCTGCTGACACTGGCACGGCACAAACCAACCCCTTGGGGTGAGCGATGGGCCCTAAGAGAGGCCTCAAGCCCAAACTTGCTGTGCCCTTGGGAGCTGCCTCAGTTCAGCTCATCCACATCAGCCTGACAATGCAGTGACTCCTGCTTTCTGCCTGCCTGGAACCTCAAGATTTATTGAAGTGCCTCTCCTCTGGGAATGCCTGTGCAGCACCATCAGCGTGATTGATGAGCAGAGGTGTCCCAGCACAAGCCGTGCTGAGCGCAGCCTCGCTGCTCCCAGCCCGCTGCTGTCCCTGCCCCAACAACCCTGGCGGATTTTTCCTATCCATGGATTCCCTCGGATCTGCCCCTAGGCGATCTACAGGAGAATATGTCTAAAATGTTCTGAGAAAGCCCCAGTGGGCTTGCAGTGCTTCCAGGACTTCCCTCAGATTGGATCCCACCTCTCTGTTTCCTATCTCAGCAGATCCAGCCTGGGGGTTTTCCAGTGGCTTCCCCTACTCCCCGCACCTCACAAGTTCTTGCCTCTCTATTTCCAGGACTAGTTCAACCAAAGTGGGATGCAGAAGGGAACCCTGAATCAATGACAGCCAAAGCAAGTCCAAGCTAAGCTTTGCACTGGCAGATGCTGAATCAGGCCACCAGGAAAAAAAAAAAAAATCAATGGAGCCATTTCTGCAGCCCGATTTTCACCCTCTCCTTCTAGAACAGGGAAGGTTCTTCTGTGCCTGCAAAGCGCCTTGACCATCTCCAGCCTCCTGTTCTCTCCCCTCAGTGACCTTTGCAACAGCTCTGAGACAAGACACTCTGGTTTCCGTATTTCCAAACCACCAGCATCCACAATCCTGCCCCGATGGCACCTTCTGCCAGAGCTCTGCCGGTGCCACCAGCATCCCATGAGGCAGCCCCACATCGACCCCTTTGGCAGTCAGGAAGGCTGTGGACAAGAACTGAGGAGGATCTCAAGGTCACACAAGGTCAGGGCACCCCTAAACGGGGCTGTCACCCCTCCTGCCCCTCAAGCCTTGCTCAGTTTAGCAAGCCCAAACTCCCCTAAAAAAACAAGCCCCTTCCAGAGGCACCACGTGCTCCCAAGACCAAGACGGATGCAGCGACCTGTCGTTATTTTATTCCCATGGTGCAGCATTAATTCATCACAAAATATACCACTAGGTGGGGCCTTCCAGACAGCAATCCAGGGAGAACCACTGCTCCCTGGTAAACCTGCTCTTTGCCTTTTCTAAACCCAAAGTGCCCCCTTCCAGTGAAAGGAGCCCCAAAAGATGCTCCTTGGGCAGCAAGGGGAGGGCGGGACGGTGCTGCATGGTGGGGCCAGCTCTTCAAAGCTCAATTTTCCATGAGTTTGCAGCCCAAAAGCGGAGGCCAAGCAAGAGCCTGTCTCTGTGGGTGTCCCTGAGGCCAGTGCAGGGTCTCCAGGGATGGGGATGGAGGATGGTTTGGGGGGCTACTGCCTAGGGGGGACAAGGCAGAGAGGAGCCAGAGCAGAGCACAGCACTTCCTAGTCCCACTCCTCCCATCACTCTTCTAAACTCACTCAGGAGTGGGACATCACAACTTCAGAGAATTCATTTTCACCTCCCAGTCCCCCAAAAAGCTGCTCCTGGTATGGAGTATGTTGATGTAGCTGGGTACCAGTTTGACCCCACACCCTCTCAGTGCTCCTGGGTAAAACTTGCCTCAGTTTCCCCACTCAAACCAGTTCTCCCAAACCCTGCCCTGTTTCCAGCCTCACCAGCTCCAGGGGTTTGCACTGAGAGCCCTTGCACAGCCCTCAGACACAGGCTGGCTCCCTGAGCTTGCAGAGCCCTCCTCCCCATCCTCTCCAGAACCTGCCCCTACAACCCCCATAACTGGGCAACAGCACTGGCAACAGTTCCACGTGTGGAAAATTCTCTCCAGGCTTCCAGAGTGCTGGAGATGGATCATGGCAAAGCCAAGTGTCACAAAGCACAGATCCAGATGTCCAGGTCGCTGTGTCCAGAAAGGGGTCAGCTGCCTACCTACCTTTACCTGCAAACCTCTGGGTGATGCTCACAGGACTTGGAGAGCAGCAGTTCCAGAAGCCCCAGAGCTCTCCAAGTCTCCCAGCTGGTTTGGAATTGCGACACACCTTGCTAGTCCTGGAAGTGACCCCCAGCTGTGCCTACTTTGGCACAGGACAGCAGCCCAGTTGGGGCAGGCACCCCAGGGCTCCAGTACAGAGCAAGGGCTCCTGGGCTCTACCCCAGTACAGGCTGCGTAACACCCGTTGGGCAGAAATTAATCTGTGCTCTCCAAAAATCACCCAACACCTTTAAAGAGCCATTGCTGCTGCTGCTTCTCATGAAGGTTGCAAGGCAGGCAGGACACCTCCTAGGCATTCTAAAGCTTGTATCCATCCCCGTGGCTGTTTATTGCACATCCACCATACCTAAAGCAGTCCAAAAAAAAAAAAAAAATCTTAATCTCTGCTGAAAAAAATGTTCTTAAAGAGCCGCAGGGATTGGAGGTGCCCCGGATTGCCGAGCTGGCAGGCAGGCAGGCAGGCAGGCAGCAGGAGCCTCGGCTGCTGACTCCTCTCTTGAAGCGATGCCTGCACGTTTCCGTGGGAGCCCCGCCACGAGCGGGGACGGGCTGCGAGTCCACCCCCAGCACCGCCGGCGCTGCCACCACCCTGTGCTGTGACCCCGGCGCCCACCGCGCTGCCCGCGCTGCCCACCCCGGCCGGGGAGACGGAGCTGCCCCGGGAGTGATGCTGCTGGAGGAGCCCATGTGATGCTGGGCTAGCGCCGCTCGCTCCCCGCGCCTCTCCCGCTCGCTCGCAGGCTGTCATGGCGACTCCCAATAATGTTACTCCCACCAACTGCAGCTGGTGGCCCATCTCGGCGCTGGAGAACAACGCGGGGAAATCCACGGAGGGGGAGGAAAATCAGGACCCGACCGACCCCGCTCTCAAATCCCAGGACAGATTGGTTTTGTACCACTGGACCCAGTCCTTCAGCTCACAAAAGGTAATGGAAAACAATCGCTCGGCCGGGTTCCCCGGCAAGGATCACCTCCAGCCTCCAGGACATCCCCTTGCCTCGGGAGGATGGATGCGCTCGGGGAAGAGCGAGGGGCTCAGCCCCGGGGGCTGGCGAGGGCAGCAGCGTGGCCGGGCAGCTCTTTGTACCTTTCACCAGCATCTGCCTGGGGACAGGGGTAGGGATGGGCAGAGGGATAGGGATGGGGATAGGGGAGCTTGGTCAAATCCTGCCTTTGTTTTGGGATGACGGCTCGCACCAGGAGCCGCCTTGGCTTTGTGCTCGCTCTCAGCCCCACACTGGCGTGGCCGGCAGCGCAGACAAAGGCTGAGCCGGGCCCCGGGACCACCCTGATGCTGCTGGCAGAGGGGAGGCAGCCCCGAGCCAGGGAGTGGATCCCGGACCCCCGCACGCAGCGATGATTCACCCCTGACACTGCAGCAGTGCCCTGGAAATTCTATTCCCGGGGCGCCCCAGCAAGAAATCCCGTTTTCCAGACAATAAATAGTAAGCGCTCATTCTGCAGCACAGCAGCTGTGTTGCAAAGCCAACCTTCTCCCCAGCCCCAACCCAGCCCCCCCATAATTCCCATGTCGTGGATACTACACGGAGAATGGGCTGTTCGGAGGGGTGGGGGAACACCAAGTTCCTCTGTGCAAGGGCCTCCTCGAGCCCCTCAGCCCAGCAGAGGGGCCCGTTCCTGCGTGCAGGCACAAAGGAGGGAGGATGCCCGATGCAGCAGGGTGGGTGCACAGGGTCGGCCCCGGCAGCAGGGGACTGATGGGCATCGGAGCCGCACTGGCGAGGGATGCTCGTGGCGCTCCCCGCCCCGCGCCGGGCTCGTTGGTATTTTTTTTGTCTTGCTCATTTGGCCGCCAGCGGCGGGGAGGCAGCGGCTGAGGCACTGCTTGTTCTGGGTTTGCTACGATCGGCCTCTTTCTGTGGGGCAGGGGACACCTAGAGCCACCACACCTGCTGGTCTCTGTGTCAGGCTTTGCTTTTGAGGTCACTCGCAAGGAAAAAGCACTTGGTGTGAGGAGGAGGGGCACAAGCTGGTGTGATGGACATCACAGGGTGGGGAGCAGCGGGGGCTCTACAGGACCCCCGGGCACAGGGGGTTTGCTTGGGGTCAGCTGCAGGCAAAGCTTCCCCTGCTCTGCCCCGGGAGCTGCTCAGAACCACCCTCTGTGAGCACAGGGATGTTTGTGGGAGCCACGCTGAGCCCCACCAGGACCTGGCCTTGTCTGCAAAGGGATTTTTGGAGTTTCACACAGGATGCCAGCCATATCCCAGTGCTGTGAGGACCAGGAATGTTTCATCACCCCTGTCTGGGACCCGAGGTTTCCCTTGCCCTCAGGCTCTGGGGTGCCCTGTGCTGCCTCATGCCCAGCAGCTGCCTCCTGCCAGGCCTTCAGACTCAGCTCCTGAGAGAAGAACAGGGAAACCACGGGGAGCTTGGGGCTGGATACCCCAGGTGGTCTTGGCCAAGGTTTATTTATCAGCTGGGAGGAAAAGGCCCTGAGCAAGTTGCATCTGAGGGACCCAGGCTCTCTCTTGTTTGACTTTAAAAGAAAAAATTAACTTGCCAGCCCCGTGAATAATTAATGACTAATTCCCCAGGAACTCTGAAGTGCTCATAGAAATGCTTATATATGTTAAGTTGTATTTTTAGCTGCTGCTGGTTGGATGAAAACAAGCCCTTTTCTCTCATTCAGTGTTTCTGTAAATCGTGGCTTTCTCACATCCCCCGAGGGCTTTTTTTGTGTGTGTGTTTGACATACTTAGTTCATAATGGTCAGGTTTTATAAGCCAGAAGCCCAAAATGCCATCCCTGAGTGCATATTCAACACCATCTCACACCCAGAGCAAAGCAGCAGCATCAGCCCCGAGGCACAGCAATGGGGATGGGGATGGTGTCCTACATCCAGCCCCACTCCTGCCTCATCCTACTCTCCCACAAGGCTGGACTCAGCTTTCCCACCCATGAGACGGGTGGGTGCCACCCCAGTAGTGCTGCTGGCTGGCCCTGGGCTGGAGGAGGGCAGTGGCAGGGGAAGGGGGAGGCAGAAGGTTTGGCACAAGAGGTGCAAAGAGCGTGGGCGATGGCCTTGGGCTGGCAGCAGCATGGAGAAGGAGGGGGAGGAGGAGAAGGAATGCTGTATGGGGCCACAGGAGCTACTTGAAATTCCCCACGAAATGGAGCCTTCCCCCTGCTCAGAATGTGCTGCCAAAGCCAGAGTCCGCTCCTGAGAGTGGGACATACCTGAGTCAGCATCCAGGTCTCAGGACCCATTGAGTGCAAGTGCGAGGCATAACATTGCTGTGCAGCCTCTGCTCCCTCCTCTTCCTCTTCCATTTCTTCCTCAGGTATGTGCTGGGATCCACAGCAGCATCACTCATTCCTCCCATCTGGGAGGGATTGGCTCCAGCCCCTCTGCCACACAGTCCACCAGCCACAGAGAGTGAATGGTCCACGATCCTGAAAATATAGGATGGGTTTGGGTATCCTCTCCTTGCTGGGAAGGCGAATCTTTCCTTGGCTGCCTGGGTTTTGCAGCTGCCCCACGCCAGCAGCTGCTGGGCTCCCTGCAGGACAAGCACATATCCTGGCACATTTCTGTGCTGAAGCTGCAGGGGAGGGTCTGGGGGTGCCACGGGGTGGTGGGGGGCACTGAGGGCCCCGGGGAGCAGCTCGGTGCGTGGGGCTGAGCCCTCTGTCCCCGGCCTCTCGCCCCAGGTGCGGCTGGTGATCGCAGAGAAGGGGCTGCCCTGCGAGGAGCGGGATGTCAGCATGCCCCTGATGGAGCACAAGGAGCCCTGGTTCATGCGGCTCAACCTGGGGGAGGAGGTGCCCGTCATCATCCACAGGGACAACATCATCAGCGACTACAACCAGATCATCGACTACATGGAGAAGAACTTCACGGGAGGTAACAGAGGGGTGGGCTGTGTCTCAGGGGAAACTCGGGTCTAGCCCAGATGCCGTTTGCCAAACACACCCACTTCTGACTTCAAAGTTTCTCCTTCACCCCAGAAGAGCAGCAAGTCACCATCTCTCTGCAAACTTCTATGTTTTCCCATGAGATTGAAGATTTTCCAGCAGAAATCCCCAAATGCCCCGTGGAATGCTGCTAGAGGGGCTCTGAGGGGTGCGTGGCTGGGTCCCCCCTTTTTCTGCCTTGGCATCCACGCTCCCAAACTAGAACATTTCCCATGTCAGTGCCCATGGTGTGTGGTGGTGTCTCACCAGAGCCAGTGGTGGGGCACAGCCCATGGGAACATTTCTGGCTTTGGCCACCTTCTTACTTTGGCCTTTGGTAGTTGTATAAAAGTGGCTGTAAGGGGCCCTGCTGGGGTTTAGACCAGGTGCTGCTGCCCCTCTCCCCTTCCTCAAAGACCCCTGGGCAGGGGACCCTGCTGTCCCTGGTGCTGCTGTGCCTCAGAGAAAACAGCCTCTTTAAAAACGCAGCCAGTGGTGCCGGGGACCATGGGAGGATGATGTGACACAAACCTAGAGGAAGGGACAGGCAGGAGAAGGAAGCTCTTATTCCCCCTGGAGCAGGGCTGCAGGCAGTGGCAGGCTGAGCCTGGCTCACCAGGGTGCTGAGGCAGCGCTCAGAGTCAGTTGTTGGCTCAGCTGCTGCAGAGAGCAGCCTCTCCCTGGCACCTCGCACCCCTTTGCTCTCCTGTCCCCAAACCCAGGGGCTGGCAGGCTGGGACATCCACCAGGGAGGCTTCAAAGCCGAGCAGGGAGCTCAGGCTGTGCCATCACGACGTTCGCCCCGGCATCCATCCCCCCCTTGCAACAGAGACATCAAAAACATCCCAAAATAGCTCCCGAAGCAAGGGCGCCTTGCCAGCTCAGCTGCTGTCCTCTCCCGGCCCCGCCACCGTGCTGCTGCTCGGGGGGGGCACGGAGCTCCCTCCCCGGTGGGGCAGCAGGGCTGGGCTCTGTCAGGAGCATCCCACACCAGCAGCAGGTCCCAGGGAATGGCACTTTCCTGCCCAGCAGCAGTCCCTGGACTGAGGGGCATCGGGCAGAGCTGACCCACAGGGTCCCTGCACAGCTTCACCTGCTCTCTGCGAAGGGCAGGTGGTCCGACATATGTGACGACAGGCTGTGCCCAGCAGGAGGGGAACACAGAGCTGCCCGAGCACTGGGAAACTCCTGACTTTGAGATTTTCCAGCCAGGTGCAGTTTCTTACCTTTTTTCACTGAGAAATGGAGAGGGGAATCTCCGGGGAAGAGGGCCCAGAGCATTGCTCCATGCTCTGCTCCGACCGTCACCCAGCAATGCAGCTGGGAAAGGCATTATCAGGGTGCTGTGGCATTAGTCTGAGGGGGAATCACCTGCCTTGCAGAAATGTGTAGAGCTTGAGAAGGCCTTTGCAAAGGTGTAATTTCTGAGGTGTGTTTTCCCCCGGGCTGGGAGCATGATCTTTTCAGCTGCTCGCACACACACACTGAGGGTCAGCTATCAGTAAAGGGTGATGTGATGAGAAATAATTTCCTTTCCCCAAAATAGCAGTTGAATAGTGCTAGTAAGCCACCTTTGAGGGTGCTTTTCACTTAGGCACTGCCCAGCACTGCCCAGAAACCACCAACAAGTAGACCGGGGCAATTCCCCCTGGGCAAGGGTCTCCTCCAAGGGCTGCACCCACTTGCCCGGCCCATTGCTCGCTGGCTGTACGCAACAGCACCCCATACATGCAGGCCTGCCACGGCATGCAAAGGCAAGCCAAGCGCCATCCCACTGGAAAACCTCCCTGGGACACGCTGAAGGACGCAGGCCAGCAGCCAGCACGCCACAATTTCATTGTGGTCACTCCATCTTCCTGCCGGACGGGGCAGTCACTGGGGATGTGCTGCTTTCCAGCCTCCACCCTGCCCTTCAGGTGCTGGCCAGGAGCCCTAGGGAAGGAGCACTCAGGCTGTAGGTCAGTTATTATTATTATTTCACTCATCCAGTCGCTTTTTTCGGATGGAAAATCCCTGCTTGGAGCCCAGGCAGTGCAGGCAGAGCTCCCGAAACCTCCCCTCACTCAGGGGACAGGGACGCTGATGCCCGACAGTGGGAACAACTTATGGAGCCTTCCAGCTGAGACAGTCCAGATCAGAGCTATGAGGAGGTTTGCCATGCAGGACCTGCCAAAATTTCCCTGGCTCCCATCCATCCACAGACACCGGCAGGCACGACGATAGCAAGGTGAAGATGTGCATCCCTGCCAGGAGGGCATTGCTGTGCCCCCTGGCAGCAGGGCTGGGCAGAGCAGAGCTGTCATTTCAGGCCCTGAAAGAAGGAGCTGCATTTGCCACACCTGCCAAAGTCCTTCTGCCAGTGTGCCCTGGCTCAGATGGAGACACTGGCACGTGGGCAACAGATTCACTGAGTCCTGGTGGGAGATTTACTCACTACCTGGGAACTGCTCTCTGCAAACACCATAAACATTTATGATCCCATCAAAAAATAGACTTGGTGTTCTTGGGGGGAGACAAGAGCAATGCATCTCTTCCTGTGGTGTCATCTGTCATGTGTTTGGAGCTGAAAGTGTAATAAAAAGGGGCACAATGCAAACTGCCATCCATGAGAAGTGACTAAAACCCAACAAGGCAGGGAGGAGCAGAGCTGTCTGGGGTGAGGATGCTCCTGCAGCTGAAACACTGGCTGAGCATGGAGGGAAAATCCACTGGGCTCCTTTGGTCACCCCGATTGCCCATTCTGGGATTTACAAAGAAGCCCAAGAGAATGAGGTACCTCATTGCCACTGGTGTAAAAGAGCATGTAACTCAGGAGATCTCCAACTCAAATCCCCATCTTTTAGCTCTTTTCTGCAGAACATGAAGATTTTGCTCCTGTTCTAAGAGATGTGAAATCACAGTGTGCAGATCCAGGGGCTGCAGAGACCAGGGCTTGCTACACTGACCCTCGGGGACGTGGGGGCTGTGGGGCTGGGTGATGGCATCCTTACACTTCTCTGTGGTCCTGTGGGTTTGCCCATCGCTGGGCATGGGCTGGATGTGCTCCTGGATGGGATGGGAAGAGGGCAGAGCGTGAGTCCAGATTTGAGTGGACGCACCGCCTCAGCCAGCCCTGCTGGGGGGTGCCTCAGGCTGGACTTCACACCGGTGTCCAGCGCAGGCTAATGAGCCTCTAACGAGTTCCTGAGCACCCCCAGGTGCCACTAACAGCTCTCCCTTTGTCCCGGCAGAAAACGTCACGCAGCTGATCCCGGAGCCGGGCAGCCTGCTGCACTCCCGCGTGCTGCAGTACCGGGAGCTGCTGGACTCGCTCCCCATGGATGCCTACACGCACGGCTGCATCCTGCACCCCGAGCTCACCACCGACTCCATGATCCCAAAGTACGCCACCACTGAGATCCGCAGTAAGTCGCCTTTCCCGCGGGGCTGCCCGGGGCTCCCAGGCTCCCTTCGGCTGGGATCGGCTCCACAGCCCAGCCAGGCACCCTGCTCCTGCTCATCCCCCCTTTCCACCAATGCAGGCAGGGACAGAGCTGGGAAATGGCAAAGCACAGCTGATCTGAGAGCTGCAGGCACTCAGCAGAGGCTTCCTGGCTCGGGGGGTGTCTGGGCTCTTGTGGGCCCTGCACGATTCTCCCCAGCTCTTTTTAGGGCACAGGAATCAGTCCCTCTCCTCCCAGAGCACTGAGGGCACAGGCAGGAGAGCGCAGCCAGATTGAGTTGCAGGCGGTGGATGAATCGGCATAAGTCTGTGTACCTGACCTTCAAGCGCTCATGAAACATTGACGATGCTTAATATAACTCCACGGCAAGGGTTTGCTCCTGGAGAGAGTTCCTGGCCGGAAAAGCGACCTTGTCAGGAGGGTATTGGCATGTCCCACGTCTCTCCCTCCTTTGTCCCCTCCCCAGAGGGTGCTGCTGTGATGGCTTCAGCCCCTGTCTGCCTCACATCACCTCCCCAGCACCCTGCTGAGATCCCCTTGTCCAAACCTCCCTCGCTGGTGGCGTTTTTCCCGAGCCAACAGAGGGGCTGTGAGCAGGTCTGGTGGGCCCACAGTGGCCCTCCTGCCCAGCACATCTCCTGCACCCAGGGGATGACTCAGCTGCAGTGGGTGCTGAGGAAAAATTGATGTAGTTTTGTCCCAGGGAGAGGGTGAACCCTGCTGGGAATGGAGCTGCAGGAGCCAAGTTATGGGGAAGCTCGGGGAGGTTCTCACAACAGACAGATCTCCCAGCAGGTCTAATAGGAATTCAGCAGAGGAAACGAAGAGCTGGAACTCTCCCTGAAACCTGCAGAGCTGGGACTCCCCAAGGCCAGGGAGGGGGATCTGCTGTGCCCTGCAGCCAGCACTGCCCTCTGGGTGGATGGCAGGGCTGTCAGAGCCTCAGACACTGAGCAGTGCCCCAGACACCACCCTGGATGGCAGCAGCAAGCCATGAATTTGTCCCATTTTGGCTCTCTGGGGTGTTTTTCTTGGTGGTAAGACAGTATTTGAATGCAGGAGGAGGGGCTTTGCTATCAGATACAAGGTCACCCCGAGCCCTGCCAAACACAGCCCCCCAGCCCCTCTGTCTGTCTCCCCCCAGGACATTTAGCTAATGCCAGCACAGACCTGATGAAGCTGGATCACGAAGAGGAGCAGCAGCTCTCCGAGCCCTACCTCTCCAAGCAGAAGAAGCTCATGGTGAGTGGATCAAAGCCACACTGCTGGTGGGAGGGACACGACCCACGGACCTGCCATGGGTAACAGGTACCTTTTGTCCCTGCATCCATCCATTCCCCATCCTGACCCTGCTCTCCACCCAGGCCAAGATCCTGGAGCACGACAACGTGAACTACTTGAAGAAGATCCTGGGAGAACTGGGGATGGTGCTAGACCAGATCGAGGCCGAGCTGGAGAAGAGGAAACTGGAGTACCAAGGTAGGCACTGGGCTGTGTTTATGGGGTGTTTTTCCACACGAGGTTGAGGTGCAACACCAGAAACAGCCAACAGCTTTGTGCCTGCTGAACATCCCCCACAGGGAACCTGTGACGAGTCTGGGGCTGTCTCTGGTCTCATCTGGTTTTGGGTGCACTGATGTCATTGCAGCCATGCAGTCTCCCTCTGCCTGATGGAGGGGCTGAGATGCTCTGTCTGGTTTTGGAAGCAGCAGGCTGGCCTCAGGCACTTGCACCAGGAGGAGCACAGGCTGCTGAAAATGCAGGGCTGGGGACATGTGCTGCAGCCAAGCCCCCTCTGGCCACAGGGCTGTGGCACATCCCACATGGAACACGGGCAGGGAAGCCAAGGAAGCTGATGGGCCCTGGAGCGGTGGGAGCCTTTACAGAATCTGCGTCACACACCAGCGGGTGGGAGAGAGCGACACCAGCCATCCCTGACAACAAACATACTGCTGAGGGCCACCCCCGTGCCCTGGCAGTCAGGGGTGCCCGGGCACAGCTGGGCAGAGCTTGTCCTGCTGTCACCCCGGGATGATTCCGTCCTCCTCCCATCCCTGCTGCTGGCAGGGCTCGAAACCCCCTCCCTGAGAGGGCTGGCAGCTGCCAGTGCCACGGTGCCAGATCCAGAGCAGAGCCCAGACACAGTTAATCAGGGGATGGCCCCAGAGCTGCCCCTGCCCTGAGGGACAGCCTGGGCCCTGGGGAGCCGTGCGTCACGCTCGGGGCTGCACTGAAGGGCCCTCGGCGCTGCCAAGGCCGGGCCACGCAGGGCATGGGGCTGAGGATTTGCCAAGAGCCCTGATGTGTTCACAGCAGCCCCCTGTGCTGCCCTAATTTCCTCCAACACCCTCATTAACCGACCCAAGGGCTGGGACAGCTCAGCAGAACTCAGCCTAATGAGGTGCCCTCGGGGGACATCCCGGGTGCCCGGAGCAGAGGGGTGGCTGCCTCTGCCAGCACCGGCTGCTCCGCTGCCTTCCATCCCTGCCTGCTGCTCCTGCCCTCTGCTCCCGGCCCTGCCGTGCCCAGGGCCAGGTCAGGATCTGAGCAGTGGGCACAAGCACCAGCCCTTTGGCAATGTCCCAGGATCTGCAGTGCAGCAGCTCTCCTCCCACGCAGCCCCGGCTGCCGGCGATGCAGGCAGGGCAGGCGGGAGGGGGGTGGGAGATGCTGCAGGAGCACTGGGAGACCCCTGCCACGGGTACCCCGTTCAGCTGGGACAGGCTGATCCAAGCTGGGGCTGCTGTGGATGCAGAGGGGACGAGTTGCTTTGGCCTGTGCTTCTGCTCCACCTCGGTGCTGGCAAGGGGTGCTGGGGCATCCCACAGGCAGGTCCAGACCTCAGCAGCAGGTGTAAGCCCAGAGCCAGGAGGGAGAGGGGTGGCTCTCTCCCGAAGTCACCCCATCCTCAGAGGTGCTTTCTCCGTCCCCTGCAGCAGTGTTTGGGGTCAGGCAGCCACCTCTGAGCCGCAGCACCCGCAAGGTCCCACAGCACCCAGGAGGCTTTGGCTACAGCACCCCCACAATTCATTAGTCACCAAAAACATTTATTGACTAATTAGGCACAGGCAATCTGTCCACTCGGGCAGTGCCTCCAGCAGGATTAGGCAGGCTGCCAAGCAGCTACAAATGAGGGCTGCTAATTACCTATAATTGCCCTGGCGTGGTCCTGCAGGCAGCCCTGAAGCACCACTGCCTGCACTGGGGTGCAGTACAAGAGCCTCTCTCCCCTTTTGTGATATAATAGCCACAGGACAGCAGAAGAGCTCCAGAATTAACGATTTGGAGCAAAGCTGGGGGCTGAGGCTGGATGGGGCCATGTTTTGTGCCCCTTCTGCTGTTCCTCCTTACCTGCACCTCCCTCAGCTCCATCCCAGCCCTGCTCCTTAGTATTGAAAGGGCACTGAAGGAGTGCTTAACAATCCTGGCCTGAGATGGCTTTTTCCAGCCTAACAGCAGCTTGGTTTATTTCTAGATGTCTCTCTGGTGAGGTTATTGCCAGGGTCACCCATTATCAGCAGCCATCAACCCTTTGGTTTCTTTCTTCATGCCCTGCACTTACTTTAAGATCTGCTTCCCCCAAAAGCCTGGATTTTGGCACAGACATGCTGCCAGTTTTGGTGTCCTGGAGCAGGGTCCCTAGTGCAGGAGGCAGACCAAAGGCAGAACCCCCCCCAACAGCACGCAGGGAGAGCAGCCAGGCCAGCCAGCAAATGGTTTCGATTCCTGAGGATTTCTTGCATCCCTAAAATAGGAGAAGTTGATGTGACACTCCTGAAACAGCTCCTGGTGCAGCCAAGGGCAAACACTGCTGCTCTCCCCCCGCTCCAGCACAGCAGAAGGGGTCACTGCATCTTCCAGGGCTCTTTTCCAGGGACCTTCTGGGTACAAGAGGATGTCATCTCCTGCTGCTCTGGACTTGGGGGAGAGGCAGCAGAGCCATTTTGCAGACAGGGATTTGTATATCCACTTGAACTATAAATTATCCCATAGCCTGGTAGATGGGGTCTGATCTCTAGGCTCACCAAAGAGCTGGGAAAAAACATCCCAGAATGGAAACAAGATGCTCCTGCCCCCATGGATCTTTTGAGCAAGGCCTTAGGTGCCCACCCAAGGTATCCCTTCCTCACCTGCTCTGCCTCTTCTCTCTCCAGGGCAGAAGTGTGAACTTTGGCTCTGCGGATGCGTCTTTACTTTGGCCGATGTCCTGTTAGGAGCCACCCTGCACCGCCTCAAGTTTCTGGGACTCTCTAAGAAATACTGGGAAGACGGCAGCAGGCCCAACCTACAGTCCTTCTTCGACAGGATACAGAAACGCTTCGCCTTCAGGAAAGTTTTGGGAGACATCCACACCACGCTCCTCTCGGCAGTGGTGCCCAACGCCTTCAGGCTGGTCAAGCGGAAACCCCCCTCCTTCCTTGGAGCCTCCTTCCTCATGGGATCCCTGGGGGGAATGGGATATTTTGCTTATTGGTACTTAAAGAAAAAATACATCTAGTGCTGACTGCTTGGTGTTTAGTTTGGTGTCTCTGTGCTGTGTGAAATTATGATGAAGCCTCAGTAACTGTAATGAAATTTGAAGCAAGGTAATGAATAATTATATTGTTTAATGTAACATTCCATAGTCTAGAAGTAGAAACCTATATTCAAGGAAATAAGACAACAACAAGAACAAGAACAAAAAGTGTCAACTTGTAAATGCCTTTTTTTAGGTTTAAGTGTTCAACTCCAGTGAGAGGCTCAGGGGTTCACGAGCCCACTGGGAAGCGGCGCCGCCTCCAGCACCAGCTGGCTCCAGCGGGAGAGACAGGAATCCCAGGAAGCTTCCCAGCACCCAAGTTGACTAACGGGACTTGGATAATTGGTCCTCTACGTTTGTGTTTCCCAGTTGTTCACCGGCCACATCTCACACGTGCGGGGAGCGGGGACTTTCAAGGCGCTGCATTGTCGTGCTCGGGGGCTCTCCCGGGAGCAGGGTCACGCTCAAGGTGGATTTCCGTTCTTCAAGTATCCATTTTTAAAGTTCTTTTCACCAAAAGGAATATTTTTTTATCGAGCTGCTCTCAGAATGTATCCACTTTCTACGTCTGGTCTCGGTGGGATTTTTTTTAATTTATTTATTTATTTTTTTTAAGGAATTTAATGTCTGTCTTTTAACTGCCGCACTTTTTTTTTTTTTTTCCTTGAGATAAATCGTTTTGACTTCCATCCTGGATTTTGGCACATGAAGGAGACTATCGGTTTAAGCCTTTTTGGCTCTGTCTCTTGAGTTGTCCTTCACGGATTTGCAAAGCATCTCTCACCGACTGAGCATATTGTGGACTCTGAAAAAAGTACAACCATCTTCAGAACTTTTCAGCGCTTTCCTGAAGGAGCTTTGTCTTTCTTCCATCCGGGGCTCTCCTCTGTCATTTCCTCGCTGTGTGTTTTCTTAGGGACACTTTGCACAGAATCACATTTGATGACTTTCTTGTGCCTTTTGCATGCTGGAAAGAATAACGGGCCTCACTGCTACTCATGCTTTGGAAACTGAGATCCTCAATAAACCATTTGGGAGGAGTCTCGGCCTCGCATCTCTGAATGTGTTCCACATCCTTCTTGTCCTGGGGCAGCAGGATGTGCAGGTGGTTCGTGCTTTGGCTCCTGTACTGCACTGGTATAAAACTCACGTGGAAACAGGATGTATTCCTCTTCCAAGGCACTCATTTCTGTAAGCACTCAGCTAGGGTCTCCTCTGGCTGGCTTTCTCCAGTGATCCCTAGCGAGCCACGCTGCATCTCTGGGCTTGGGAAACGTGTGCCAAGTGTGGCTGAAATAATAGGAATTGCATTTGCCTCCGACTCAAAAGTTATATTTATGTATTTGAAAGCAGCAAGCTCCCCCAGGAGATTTTAACACAACCCAGCAGCCACAGAACTGGGAATGTTTGGCAGGAATTACAAGGAACGAGCACACAGTGATTAGACAGTGCAAAACACACACGTTTATACTGTGCTTGTCACAATTGTGTGGGCTGGCCTGACATACTTCTGGAGTGCAACAGGCTGTGTGGCTGCAAAGGCTCTGTGTTCCCCCCCCAGGGATTAGGGTTGCACTTAAAATCGGTGGGTGAGAACCCTAATCCACCACCAGCTCATGCACACCCGGCACCTGCAGCTGAGGCTGCTGAGTGAAACCCTGCAGACACACATTCCCCAAAATACACTCAGTGTTTGCTTCATGGTACCAAGGACTTCAGAAGAAAGAGTTATTTTCCTTCTTTTTGAAGAGGGAAGCAAGAGGGCGACCTGAGGTCACTCCTTTTGCTCAAAGATGCAAGATGAACTACGGGACCTGTTTGGTCCATTAACTGATCCTGACTTCCTCAAGGATTTATAAAGATACACTGACATGAAACCTTGACCAGGATTTCACCCTCTTACCTTTGTTCCTTGTCCTACACACACATTTCATGATGATCTCCAAAAGCTGATAAAATGCACACACCAGGTGTAGAAAGGAATATTAACGGGGTACAAGGCCAGGGAACCCTGAGGGAAGGAGGGCAAATACGTGCTCCACTCCCAGAATTTTAGCCCAGGAATGAGGCAGAAGGAAGCTGCTTAGCAGGACTGCTGCTGGTTACTTTGCTCCTCAATTTTTTATTTATTTATTATTTTTTTTTTATAACCTCAGAATAAATTTAAAATCGTGGGACAAATCAGAACTCCAAACACTGGAGAAAACAGGTGTTTGCTTTGTTTGGAGCACACTGTTAAGATACAACTGTGACAAGGAAACCAGACACGTCCAAGCAGCTGGAACTGGGCACGGGTTGGTTCGGATCAGTGTGTGTGACAGCTCTCACCCCTGCTGCACTGGGGGCTGCTGGGAAGCCACAGATGCTGTGGTGAGGGGTGTTTTTTTACAGGTTCTCAGCTAGGAATAGTCACTGACAAGCCTCAGTTTTGCACCAAACTAAAAAGAAAGCGAAAATCGGTGCCACTCCCTGTCACCCCAGTAATGAAAAAGTAGCAGGACTTTGCTCCAGGGAAAAGCAATCTGTGAGAGCAATAAAAGACAATTACTGTGGCAGGCAGAGGCTGGATTGATGTACAAGACCCTGCTGAAGCGTGGGGGAGAGGAATGTCAGCACCTCCATCCATCCAGATTAGCCAGTCGCTATAAAGCAGCCCTGTGGTGATCACAGGCTGTCATCAGCAAAAGCTGGCCTTGCTCTAGCTGATCTCAGCCTAATCGGACCTTCTCTGCTCTAGTTCCACTGCAGAGGGGAGCCCACCACCCCACCTGGCCATGAGCCAGGCCCTGGCCCATCAGTCGCTGCCCAGGGCATGTTCTGTACGCAGAAATACGGAGATGATGGCAAAAATCTGTTTTCTCCCTGCAGGGCTTCCTGCTTTGCTCTCAGGGAGGTGTGGGGTGACAGCAGCGCTCAGGGGGTGAGGCTGGAAGGTGAAGCACCTCAGAGGTGCTATTTTGTATTTCAGACACCAGAGGGAACGGCTCCCACTGCATCCTGCACCAAACCCTTCTGTGCGCCTGATCCCAACCCAGCCAGGGTCCTTCTTAGGCTTTACCCCGGGTGTACTTATTTACCCAAGCAAATTGTCATCCTTCAAATTCCCTGTGAGGGAAAACTTCCTTTCTGCTGTGAAAATAAATGAAGGATTTCCCCACATAAGGAAGGCAGGCAGAAAACATTAAAGCTTGTGAAAATATTTAACCTCAGGTTGTGTTTGGTGACACTCAGTGCTGTCATTAAGATCAAAGCCAAAACCACCCAGACTGGATCCACAATGCAGGCAATGACAGCAGCTCAATTTCTCAGGCTTCAGAAAGGCATATGGGATTAAAATAATATGAGGTATAATTAAAATAGTATTTTGGGGGGGATAATATAAAATATGTTAATATGAGATTAAAAATTAAATAACCAAAGAACCAGTAAATCATGTGCAGACCTAGGAGCCAGTTACGGTAAGCCCCTACCTGCACTTCCTTGTGGCATAGCAGAGGATAAAAGGGCAATTTCACAGCTGTTCACACCATCAGCAAAGTTGTTCCTGCTACATAAGTCTTTAGAAGAAAAAGCTCCTTCTGCCATGGTGGGACAGAATAAAGTTCCCAGTCCTCCCCATCCCATCCCATCCCATCCCATCCCATCCCATCCCATCCCATCCCATCCCATCCCATCCAGCCTGCAGAGAAAAGCTCAAACCCACAGGTATGAATGAGACTGAAAACATCTGTGAATGTGGAGAACAGGAACAGATTTGTACCCCTGCAGGAATTCCCCAAGCAGGGCCTCGGTGGACAAATTGAAGAGGTTTCACACCAAGCCATTCTAATTCTGAAAATAAAGCAATAAACAGCAGCGAAACCACACGGGAATTTGAATCTCAGATAAAGCACATTCATGACAGACACATTTCCTGGTTTTCCCCTCAGGCTGATCCCCAGATGTGCCCAGATGACATGTTCACTATCACTGCCTTTCCTTCTCCTTTTAACACACTTTCCTCTGAAGGATTAAACAGAGAGAAACCAGCCTGCACCGAGCAGCTCCCAGTGAGGGCAGGAATGCCAGAACTGCCATAAATAACGTGGGTGCAGAACTGCTCTGTCAGAACACAGGTGTCCATCCCTGCAGCAGCTGTGGGTGCTGTGCTGCTGGCCAGGCTCTACCTGCAGAGAGCAGATTGTTGCTGTTTCCACGTCACTTCGGTGCTGAAGAGCATCGGTGAGCCGAGTGTCAACCTCCACCCACTCCTTGGGAGCTCACAGCAGGTTTTCTTCTTCCTTTTCTTTTTCCTTTGGCCCCCTCTGCACAGTGACCTAGTTTCAGCCCCGTTTTTCTTTACCCCTCTGGTCTGTGCTACCCCTTTCCTGTCTCCTGCAGCCCCTGGTGTCACTCTCCTGTCACAGTGACCACCTTCAGAGATGTTTCTGTTGTCAGGGGCCCATGGGCTGTCGAGTTCTGCATCAGTGGACACAGCACCTCCCATTTCCACCTTCTGAGGATGAATTGCTAAGAAATGAAGGAGATGGGATCTTGCTGAAAACCTCTTATCAAACAGCACAGATCAATGGCTTAGAAAAGATTTCTTTAAAAATAACACCATCCACCCCCCTACTTTCGTTGCCTCCTGCCTCAGCCCTTTCCTACCAGCACCTCATCTCTCCAGCGACCTAAATCCTTTTTAGCTCCAGGAGAGTTATCCAAATAAAGCTACTTTGCAATCAGAACAGAGTGTAACCAGGTTTGAGGGTGCTGTGTAATGCTGCAGGCAGTTCTTGACACAGAACCAAGTATCCTGCATAGTTAAGTGCTGTTTTGCACATGCTCTTTACATCCCAAGGTCGTGTCACTCCACCACCACCCTCCTGAATACTCTATTTTTGCTTGCTGAAAGCAATTTCTTTCCATTCCTTGCCCTTGGAGCCAACCGCTACACAAGAGCAATAGAGAGGATGCCTGGCCACAAAAGAAAAAACAAACAAAAAAGTCTGAAAACAAACAAACAGAGATCCCCAGGAAACAAAATAAACAAAACAAAAACAAAAACACACAAAAAAACCACCAACAAAACCAAAAACACCAAACCAAACCAAACCAAACAAAAAAAAACTGGTATAATTTTTTTCTCTAAACTTCCAAATCAAGGCAATCAACAGGAAAAAAAAACATAAACCCCTCAAACCTGTATCACCCCCATTCTTCTAAAAAGCAATTCATGCCTCGTGCAACCTCCCAGCACAGTCCCCACGGGCTGGGGAAGGCTCTGCAGGCAGCACAGGATCAGGGAAGGCACTTCAGAAGAGCTGACATTTACCTTGAGGATGCGCCTCGTTATTGCTCTGGCACCGGCCCTGCTTCCCACGGATTAAACGCGGAACACGCGGCCCAAAGCTGCAAAAAAATCAACCCAGACTGGACAGGGGGAAAAGGCTTTGGAGAAATAATCCTCATTTGTATTTCTTCTTGTTCCACGCTTTCCTGTCTTCAGCCTTCACCACTGGGGAGATCCTCAGCACAGCTGTAGATCTTCTGCCCTTGGACACCCTGTCTGGAAAAGGGTGGGGTTTTTGAGTGATGCTTTCCCGTGATATCCAACCCTCCTGAAAGGCTGGCAAAGCTCTTCACCTACTTCTTCATTTCTGTGCCATGTTCTAGTCCCAAATCTTTACAGAGAACTTATTCAGCCTGTTCTGAATGCCCGTGGCCTTGCCTGTGTTTTGTGACGGGGCAGGAGGCAGCTTAAATATAAATAATCTTTCAGACTAAATGTCACAATTACATAATTGGCTGATATTTCATGGACTGCACTCAGCCCTGAGAGTCACTTGCATTTGTGCTTTTCCAGTTTGTAACCTTTATGCTCTCATTCCACACTTCATTTAAGCACTAAGGTACTCTTTCCCATATTCAAGTTAATAACTTACTCCTAAACACTTGGTGAAACCACCCTTTACTGGAGAGCAGTGACTATGGTAACTCTACCAGTGTACAAGCTCTACTGTCACATTACCCTCTTTCCCTCCCCAAGCTCAAGCACACGAGGTGTAGTTGTGCTTCAATAAATGAAGCACGCACTATTTTCCAGGTAAACACCGTCCCAGCGACAGACCAGCTCTGTTTAACAGCAGCTGCACATCAGTTCAGAGTCACAACAGCCTTTCTTCGCTTCTATTAATTGCTTTCATCTTGAGCTTTGTCAAAACACTTAAAAGAAGGGAAAGGCAAAACACCAAGAGAGAGTACACATCAAGCAGAGGGGAAGAGCATTTATTGCTAATCTGTGCTCCAGGAGGAGAGATGAAGCTCTGAAAGGAAATAATCCCAGGAAACAGGATCCTGAGCAAATGGAGATAAACACAGGCTGATCAAAGAGCTGGAAAAGGCCGAGTGCAGAGGAGCTGCAGGGATTTACTTTAGGCTACAGTGGAAAAATCAGATACTGTTTCACTGAGGGAAGTGACCACAGACTTGTGCTCACAGCTAGAGACTGATTTTCCGCATGTTTAATCTACCCCAGCAGCCCTTACAGGTTTTCCCATTAAAGTGCACCTCAGGGCATGACTGGGTGTTTCTCACTCTCACCAACTGCCACACACCAGGACAGAAAACAGGATTCTTTTCCTTTTGCAGCCACCCACAACCCAAGTCTCAGCACACACAAATAAACTGGCAAACCAGGAACACCATTTAGCACCAGCAGGGAGTTCATGGACCGAGCTTGCTCTGAACAAAGACTTTGGGGAAGAATCAAACCCTGGGCTCAGGTGTGTTTGAAGCCTGAACTGCTCACGTGGCTCTTGCGAAAGACCTCGACTTTCCTGTTTGCTGGTCTTGCCTCCAGTGATGCAAACACTTGAAAGAGTCCCAGGTAAGTGAAGAGTGAAATGAATCCTAAGCCAGTTACCCAGCCCACTGTGCTCCAACCAAGACTCCTCTCCTTGCTGTTCCCAGCAGAGTAAAATGTTTGAGGCACCAAGACTTGCCTTGCCCACCTCAGCCAGGCCAGCTGCTGCTTCTGCGAAAGAATTGTGAAACAGAGCCCAAAAACGGGCCAAACACAGGCAGGGAAAAATTAGCAGACAGATGTTGAAATAAATAATATGCTACTAAGGTCTTGGGAGACAAAAACTCCCTAAGCAATTCTACAGACACACAAATACAGCTCTGTGGGAATAAGAGGGATACTTTAATGCAGAAAAGCCAAAAAAAAAAAAAAACCAGAACGTGAAACAAATCAGTGATACCTGCTGACAGCTGATTTGTGTCCTCTGGCACAGGACACCAAACCCAGCTGCTCCCAGCACTGTTTCTCTCTGTTGTAGAGGCTGCATTTTAATTTTAATGATAAAAGTGCATTTGGGAGAGGAAAGGAACTCAGACAAATGGGATGGGAAATACGAGAGCAAGAAATTTGCAACCTTTAGGAAGCAGATTCCTACCCTGTCAAAAAGCACAAAGAAAGGTCTGGAGCTCAGGGGAACTCTCTAAGCCAAGAGCTGGCACATGGTCTCTGGGTACTGACAGAAACACCAAGATTTCCAAACTCCTAAGCGTTGTCACAGCCCACGGGAATGTTCCCATGGATTTCATTGGATTAGGCTTTCCCTTTGCTCTACGAAATGAGCTGCTTGGTGTAACAGGCCCACATTGGGAAACTTGCTTTAGTCAGCCTTGGCTTTGTTCTGCTTCTTTTTATGCCCTGCACTCCTGAGAACCTCTGTTAACCCTTTCAAATAGTGCAGAATCATCGTTGTCAGTCTGATCCCACACCTCAGTAACCACACACAGGCAGGCTGGAGCATCCAGGGAAATGAAGAGCAACAGCAGCATCTTTACAGGTATCAGAAACAGATTCTCAAAGACACGAACACCGATAAAGTTTTCACATGTTTTTCTTTCATTGTTTAAATAAAAGTTTCGAGAATAACCGTATCCCACATTATTTCCATTAAAAAAAAAAAAATAATCTGTATGACACTGGTTAAAGTGGACAGAAAACATCCACAGTGATTGCACAAAACATTTGTGAAAATGAACATCATTTCAGCGAGTCAGTTGGTTTAAGCAAACAGCATTTCCTGTTCCAAGGGCTTGTCTGTACAGCAAAGTTACATAAAGATAACCTAAAATAGAAACTTAATGAAATTAATCAGAAAACCTTCTGGGTATATAATCCTTTTTCATGGTGAGAGTGGCTTGTGGTCTATCTTAACTCTATTGGGAGCAGGCTCACATTACATCAAAAGAATGTCTGCAAATAAATTTGCATTGTTCAAACAAATTTAGGTAAACCCAATATGAGTTAATCAGTGCAATTTTCAAAGAGGCAGCTTAAAAGGCAATTTAATACAAAAACCAAGAGGAACTTGACAGAAAATACACAACCCCCTGGACAGCTTCTTTCCAAGAGGTGATTTGTTCTTTCTAAGGACACACAGCTCCACTGAACTCAGAGGAAACTGCAGTGAATCCAGCTCTCCTCAGAGGCAGAACACAGCGTGGAACCAACGCTGCTGCATTAACTGCGAATGCTTCCACTCCCCTGCTGGAAGAGAGACGTGGAGATGGCAAAACGTGCCAGGATTAACCTGCGGTGCCTCACGCCCTGCACTCAGCAATCAGCCACCCTGGAGCCACCCCAAGCCCGCTGTGGGGTCAGTGCAGGTGCCAGGCCTTGCCCACAGACCCCCCTGGCCGTCTTGCTCATCACTGTCAAGCACATTTTGTGCAACCGCGTCACGAATAAGCCTTTATCAAATAATCAAAAGCTTTCCAAGATAAAAACTATGCTAAACATCTAATTGATATGATGAATAGACCCATCTCACCCCTATTCATTATCTGGTAGTAGTGTTTTATTTTAGTGTTTTCAGTAGTGGGTTTCCAGCCACATCAAAAGTGGCCGCAGCTTTATGTGCAATCAAAATTAAGTAGCTTATTGATATTGCTGGATAAGAAAGAATAAATATTGCTTCAAGCACACTCTGCTTTGCAGCTCCCAGGATAAGCAATGCATTTCACTCATTAACCAAGCAGGCTATTTGGGAAACAGCAGGCTAAGCTAGCTTGTTCAGAACACCAGAATTTCATTGTTCTTCTAGAAGAAAGAACAGAAAACCAAAGAAATTGTTGTTGCAAAGTGTGCAACTCACTAGATTTTTTAAAAATTAAAACCCCAATCCTCATAACTAGACTTTTTAGCAAAACTTTAGGAAGGAGTTTGTTTGTTTTTTTTTTTTTTCTCTCAAGAATAAAATCACAAAATATTGTCTCTACTTCACCTAAGGAGAAAGTTAAGGCTTATTTTCTCAGGAGTTCCCTTTTCAGAGGCAGGCATGAATTTAGTCTGCTTCAGACATTACATCTCAGATTTACTCTCTGCTGCAGGAGGTGCAGACAGCTATGAGGCATTTGTGGCAAGTTAGTGTTTTTAACACTTGAAAACAGAAGATGTTCCAGTTTCACAACAGGACTGCTTTAACACTTGATAGTTTTGCAATGCTTAGCAGCACTGTCGTTATTAGAGCTTTCCCATAAGGCAATATAAATAGGAACACTACAAAAAAATTATGAGGTTTGGATCATCCACAATATTTTGACGTGAATCAAAAAGAAAGAGGGAGAATTAATTGAGATCAGTCAAGCTCCTAAAGAGCAGAGGCCTCTGTTGGCCCTGGGTCTGCTCCTTCATTTATTAGTGAGAGAATCAGATTCAACTTCTGATTTCTTTGCTGACAGTGCCAGTCATCAGCTCCTAATCAAAAGCAGACCTCTTCCAGTACCACTTTTTTTTCTCCCAAGGAAGAAGCTCATTACCACCTGCCAGTCACTGGCTAGTACAGATTTGGTTTCCTCCAACCCATCACCTTCCTCCTTACAGTGGAAATACAGTAACCGTTCCTACATTCAACTACTCCAGTACTGAAAGCAAAATCCAAAGTATTTTAAAAAAATAAAACCCTACTTTATCTGCTGTAGCTGTACTTCTTTGAACTCAAAGGTATATTTGGAAGAGGTAGTCCAGGAGAAAAGGGTTTCAAGTACCAAAACCTGTACGTCCCGTACCAGCCTGACAGACCTATCAGCACACCCAGGAGCTTCTGACTGAAGTCGTGGAAATACAGGGCAGTACAGAGGAACATGAACACCCAGATGACGGTGAGGAAACACAGGGAGACGAACAGCACGTTGACCACCACGCGCAGCTTGGAGTTGTGGTCCATGGACAGGCCCTCCAGCACGGCCACCTCCTCCAGGATCATGAGGGCGCAGTAGGAGAGCAGGAAGCAGTGCCCCGAGATGTCGAAGCCGTTCCAGACGCCGCTGTCCTGGTGGCACTCGCGCTTGGTGGCGTAGAGCCGGGGGGTGTCCCCGGGCCTGGCGGGCAGGGAGCACTCCCCGGTGAGGTTCTCGATGTACACGAAGAGCTGGGTGCAGACGAACCAGACGGCCGTGCCCACGGCCAGCCCGCTCAGCCGCCGCAGCGCCAGCAGCGCGCTCCGCGCCCGCCCGTACAGCAGCTTGGTCCGGGCCAGCTGGTACGTGGTGAGGGCGATGAAGGGCAGCAGCAGCCACAGGGTCCAAGCCCAGGCCACCTTCACGAAGTATCTGCCGGAGAAAAAAAAGCCAAAGTGAAACAAGCACGTGTGAAACGAGCGCGAGCGGAGCTTCGCAGCAGCCACGGTGGGAGCTGGTGCTTCGAGTTTTCGAGAACCATCAGCGTTCAGATTCTGAAACAGCGTTCAGAACCATCTGAGCTAGACACTCGTGCCCTCCCCTCAAAGTACAGCCTAGCTAAAAGCTTAACCCTCTCCCCAGGACTTCCCCGAGGCCCAACACCTGAACACTTCCTCGGCCAGGTCCTCCTTCCCCAGGCAGCGTTCCCCCGGCCCCGGAGCCCTCGTTCGGTGCAGCAGACTTGGCGGTTCAGTTTTGCAATCACTTTGACCCCACAAACCTGCTCAACTCTGCCCTACTCAAACTGCAGCTCCAAAGGATGTATTTTTAGCTTGCCACCCTGACCACAGTGACCCTTCCTCCGTCTCAATTCTCTTTGCTTCCAAAGCCCTTCAGAACCTCAGCCTCTTAACACTGAGACAGCCAGAAGGGCTGGCTCTTTTCCCCTAATCAGCCCATGAAGCTTTTCCTCCCCTCATGTCCTTATAAATAAATGAAGCAGCACAATGTTCCTTTGCTGTCCTCTCAGCTGATGAGAGCCTTCCCTTGGCTTACACAAATCCTTCCATCTCTTAAATTCACCCTCTGCCTTGAAAATTTTTGCTGTGATGCCTGTAAAATCTTGAAAAGCAACAAATGATGTACCATGGAACAGTAATTGAAAATAAAATCCCCATTTTATTTAAAAGCTAAAAAGGCTTTACTTTCAACTTTATTGCTGACAAACCAGCAGGGCAAGTAATTTGTAGAGATAAAAACTTCCTTCAGGAACTGTCAGTGCCAATCACCTCCCTCTGTTTAAGAGGGAGAACTGAACCATAGCATGCCTTTACTGCAAGATCAATTTCTCTAAGTGTTCCTGTCAATGCTCTTTCAATCACACTAAAAGCAGCTCCTCTCCTACATGTCACCAAATGACAAATCTGAATCAATAAAGTACAAAACTCCCCAAGTCACAGGCGAGAAGAGCAATTTTAGCTTCACTCTCTGACCTGTAGAAGGTACGGCGCACGTGCTCTGGCCCAGCTCATCACTTCCTCCTGCCCTTCCAAAATGTTCAAACGTGTTTTTGCAGAATGACTAAGCCAGTTAAGCCACTGCCCAAGTGCTAAAAGAGGATGGCAGTCACTCCGCTTCTAGGAAAGATGCTAAAGGGGGTGCTCGGGCACTGAGCAGGCACGGTCCCAGGGCTGCCAGAGCTCCAGGAGTGTTTGGACATCGCTCTCAGGCACACGGTGGGATTGCTGGAGTGCCCTGTGCAGGGCCAGGAATGGGACTCGGTGATCCTTGGTGGGTCCCTTCCAACTCAGCACATTCTACGATCCTATTATTTTAAAAGACTTGTTTTCCGCAGCTCAGAAAACCATTTTCTCTACAGATCAGTTCAGTAACAACCAGTTCACTCAAAAAAAAAAAAAAAAAAAAATCCTTCTCCCCCCCCCACTCTTTCCAATAAAAACCGAGCGGAAACCCCCGAGGTGCTGAAACCTCCCAGTCAAGATCTCACGGGGAACACCCACCCGAACCACGAGAAAACACTCGTTTAAAGCCCAGAGACCCTCACCCGAAGCACAGAGACATCCACTCCAAGCACAGAGACATCCACTCGAAGCACTGAAAGGCCCGTTTAAAAGCCCAGGCACATCCATTCGAAGCACAGAGGCATCCATTTAAAAGGCAGAGACACACGTTTAAAGGACAGGGACACACGTTTAAAGGACAGACACATGTTTAAAGCACAGAAATACACATCTAAAGCACTATTCCCCCCTCACAGCCCCGACCCAGCGCGGGCCGGGCCCAGCCCCCGGGTCCCTCCCGGACCCCTCCCCAGGCCCCCCCCGAGGCTCCCCCCGCCCGCTCCTCCTCACACGTTGAGCGGGTTGCGCTTGTTCCTCAGCGGCGTGTCGGGCACCAGGTCGCCGTCCTTGAGCGCGGAGCCGAGCAGGGCGATGGCGAGGAGGGCGGCGGGCAGGCGGCGGCGCACCCGGCCCCCGGCCAGCGCGGCCCGCAGCCACCGCCCGCAGCGCTCCAGCCGCTCCATGGCGGGTCCGCCCGGGCCGCGGCTCCGCCGGTACCGCCTCCCCCCCGGAACAACCCCCGGAACACCCCCCCGGTACCGCCCCGGTACCGCCTCCCCCGGAACACCCCCCGGAACACCCCCCGGTACGGCCCTCCCGGTACCGCCCCCGCTGCCGCCCCGCGGGCGCCCCCGCCCGGCCCCCGCCGGCAGCGCCCGGCGCGGTTGTCCCCGCGGAGCAGAGCACGAAGAGATGCTCCAAAGAATATCTATCTATCTATCTAAATATATAATTATATTATATTTATATCATGTATATAATTTAGATATTATACAGATGACTTATATATTTATATATTATATTTATATATTTATTTGATCACTCTCGAGGGGAAAAGACAGCGCAGAAAGAGTCGCGTCTCGTCGATACCGCCTGGGGAGTCTTTCTGCTGCGCCTTCTGCAACCGGACTTGCCCGTCTCGCACTGGCCTTTTCAGCCATCAGCGCGCTTGTAGCGAGCGTGGGTAGAGCCCTTCGCAAATCTTCGTTCGCGAAGCCCAGCCACGGTGATGATTATGTATTTAGATATATGCAGAATTATATATGCAGGTCAGAGTAACTGAACTCCCGTTCAGGCGCCAAAGTCTAAGCATTTGTTCCTTCACAAAGCGGCAAAAGCTCGCCAAGGGCTCGTTCCTAACGGCACTGCAGCGTTTTCGTAGTGAATGTCTTAAAAACAACCAAAATACAAACTTTAACCGCTGATTTGAAGCGCGGATTCTGCTCCTGAGTGAAGTGGCATTAAACATCCAAGAAGTTTTGAACAGGACCCCAGAGTTTCAGTGTTAGCAACTCTCACTGAGGCTCTGAAGGCTAGAGCCACGTGACTGGTGTGCTGGACCGATGGAAAACACCCCTCAAATGTATCAGTACGAGATCACATTGAAGGGATGCCCTTTAAGGCCTCTCAATGTGTTTTACATTAATATCCCAGTGAGTTAAGACTAATACAAAGTCCCACATAGTAAGAGCCAGTGTTTCATTTAGGTAGATAGATAGATAGATAGATAGATAGATAGATAGATAGATAGATAGATAGATAGATAGATAGATAGATAGATAGATAGGAGGAATAGAAACTTTACTCACAGTATCCCGAAATGCCCAACAAAGGAAAACCATAATCTTAGAAAAGTCTTGGAGGATTTGATAAGGATGTACTCAAGCTAAGAGGATGTAAACTAAGCTCTGTGTACCCAAACAAGATAAAATAAAGAACAAATGTAACAGTTTTTGGTGGAACACAATGATGCTGTGCCTACCTCTAAGTGGGGTGCCAGCACCTCTGAAAAGGAGGTGATAACCATGATACTCAAGAGGAAATCTGAGATTTTTCTCATTCAGTAGAATTATTTTAATTTTTCCTGGGGCTTAAGAGAGAGGGAGAAAGTATTTCTGGAGCTGTTAAGGCTCCCACGCCTTTTCACTGTCCATATTTATGGCTGAAAGTGGTGTCCAAGCGCTGGCCGTCACTGTGGTATTTGAGACCCATTTCATCTACTGAACCTCTGCTGCTGTCATTTCAGCTTAGTTTTTAAAATATAAAAAAAAAAAGCACCAGCAAGCAGAGAAATGGCTCAGCGAACAAAGAGCCTTTATTCATCCCAATGGCCTTAGTAAGAAAAATGTGAGAGCGAGGGGGAAAAAAAGCAGGCCCCATCTGAGACGGGATGGGAAAGTATTTCTTGCCAGAGCGCATTTCAAAGCGGTTTCGCCATCACCGTCAGCGAATCTATGACAACATCTGGGCTGAGAGGGCAGATCAAAGCAGCCCCAGCAGATACGGGGAGTCTCAAACTCAGGGGGTTATTCAGGGTAAATGGCATTTGGCAATTTATTAGACGTTGTTTTTAATAAGGCAGCCCCGGCACTGCACCCCGAATGAGAGACGACAGGCAGCTGCGCTCACTCAGACGAGCGGGGATGAGAGGGGCTGGGAGCAGGTTTCACAGAGTCCCTCATTGTCTGCCTAAATCCCCTCTGCCTTTGAAACCTTGCCTCCCAGGTTTGGGCCTGTGATCCCCAGACTGTTTGCAGTGCCGGCGCTGGAGGTGGGAGCTGCTCAGCTGGCTGCTAATGAGGCGTGTTGTGGTGTCTGCCACACGCCGGGAGGATTTCGTAAGCTTGGCACCTGTTTCAGATGAATAGAGTTGATGGCACGGGCTGGAAATGTGTCTACCCCCAGCCCAGCTTGAAATGTCTGAGGATTATCTCTGTAAATCACCGATTCTCACAAGGGCAGTGGGCAGAGCTCAGCTGGGTCCAGGTGTTCTGCAGATTTAGGGTAAATCTCTACATTCGGGCTGTGTATTTGCTGCCATGAGCACTGGCCTGCGTCCACACACTCGGTGGGGATGACTTACCCCTCTACCAGCAGCCCATTGGGATCCACCTGCTTTCTTCCCAGCTTGTCCTGCTGCCTCACAGCAATTCCCACAGCCCTCTGGCACCTGCTCACCCATCCCTGCACGCCCTGCAGCCCCCAGCCCTTCCCTGGGGGAGCCAGGGCCTCACAGCAGCTGTGCTGCTCATTCCTGCCGAGCCTCCCCCCTGCTCTCTGTTTTCCTTGGTGGATTCTGCTCACATCTCCATGATTGATCGTGTTTGAGTTTGATCCTGGAGCATCCCGGGATGTTTGCATGAGAGGTGCTACATAAGCATAATTTGGACTGAATTTTCTTTGCCTAATGGGAGCTTAAGCCTGGAATTGAAGATAGTTTTGGCCCTTTGCTGAGATGCTCTTCATCAAACGCAGTGGTTTGAGCTCCGCAGCCTTCTCTATTCACTGTCGGCTTAGAAAAAAAAGATTAAAAGAATAATATTGTGCTTTGTTCCCTTGTGTCAGTGATGCCTTTGAAATGCAGCCCAGGGTGGAGGCGTAGCAGCCTTTCCCTCACAGTGGCCTGGATCTTTGCTGCCCCTCTCTGATGGGAAGGGATGCCCTTGTCATCGGTCCAGGCAGAACCAAGGTTGACCTGTGAGTGGATGATGTGCTATTTACAGTGGAGATGCTGAGTGGAGAGACAGAAGGAAGACATTAATGGGAAAGGTCTCTCCCTTGTGCTGAAACCCCAGGAATTTTAGAAAAAGGTGTGGAAATGAACCCCAGACAATTTGTACAGACGGAAGCATTGCTGGGCCCCGGCTGAAAACCTCTGCAGGGTTACACATTTCCCTTTCTGACTCTCCCAAGGTGAATAGGAAGGGTATGATCTGAGCTGAGGGGAATTTGCAGCTTGTTTGGTGGTTATATCCAAAGATCAAAATATTTTGGGATGTGGGGCAAAGCATAAGAAAGAGCCAATTCAGTTTTCAGTGGCTCGTGCTTTATTAATGCTGCAAATTAATACCTACTGCTAGAAAATATTTACATTTCTTGCTTGGCACAGCCAGGTCGCAGCAGAGCAGACTAATGATGGGGTTTAATTCACAGGAGAGAATGGTCTTCTGATGGACTCTGGGGAGCTGGGTTTCATTTGTGACTGACAAACTCCTTCTCCAGCCACAGGCAAGCCCCTGAATCTCTGTATCCCCACACCCTGAAAAGAATACGGGAGAGGTTCTGTTCTCCTCCTTCCTCAGTTTCTGTCAGAGAAAATGAGAGGGCTGCAAAAATGGGCTGAAGAGCTTCAAAATAAGCAGAGTTCACAAAGATGTGAAATAGCTACTCTGCCTATAATACAAATTAAGGAGCCCCTTAGCAGATGAAGTGGGGATGAGATTACACGTGGAAAAAATACATATTTCATGTGATTAAGTGTATATGTGCTTGGGCATAAAATGGCCTTAATTAGTCATGTTTATCTCGAAGTGCCTGACTTCCTTGAGCAGCTGTGGTGGCTGCACTTGCAGCTCCTCGCTGAAATATTCGCTTTTTTCACGCAGTGTATAATTCACACCTTCCATGTTTGCCAGAAAAACTCCTCACCCCCCACACCTGGGCTTTTGAATTAATTTGATTCCCGATGTCTTTGAGGGGTAGGTTCTGAGCAGGTTTTCCCCTGCAGGCTGAGCAGGCAGAGCTGTCCCAGCAGCAGTTACTGGGAGTTAACTCCTGCCCAGACCAACTAACCTTTCTGTTGCCCACGTACCAAAAGCACTATTGGTTGTTTATCCCCTTTCTGTAAGGATTGTCAGTCCTACATAAATGAACACCTAAAACTTGACAACAATTTCCACAAAATCCTTTGCTGGGTGGCCCTTGAGCCGCTGTACCAAAACACTGCCCTTTTTTTAGATGAAGAAACTGCCACTTATTGCAAGTGATCAAATATGGGACAGAAACGGTCTGTGCTTATTAATTCAGATTCAGAAATATGAACTTTGCAGACCTTAGTGGTGCATTTTTAGCTCATATATTTGCAGGGAAGACTCAGAGTCATGTACTCAGGTGTAAAATTTGGAAGTGACTTTGTGGTGATGAACTGCAGCCCCACAGTTCACAGTCCTGGTTTCTTGGCTGGGTGCCTGGTACAGCCAGACACAAAACATGAGCTGTGGCTCTTTCAGTCCAACATGTAATTACAAATATTTAAGTGTAAAACTAAAATATACACGCACATAACATTTATTCTGTGCTTTACTGGCTTGGATAATGTTAAAAGTGTTGGCTGGAAGTGGGATTTGGATCTGTCCTGACCATAATGACCACTCAACACCCCGGCTCACCTTGCCATGCTCTTTCACCACATCTCAACCTTCGGCAGAAGAAACAAGATGCCCCAGGCAGTGGAGTTTATGGGTGTCATCTGAAAGCCAAGACAGGCAGAAAGACAGTGAGGTGAGTGTGAAGTGTGCTGAGCAATACCTAGCTCAGCCATCCCCAGGGTTGGGGCAGGGAGGGAATGAATTTGCCTCAGGAAGAATGAATTTGCCTGGGCCCCAGTTTATCACACTTTTTCCCAGCCAGGACTCGTCCCTTTATCTTCTGCAGGAGTTTGGGAGCACCAGGAATAGCAAAACTGCT